GACAGTGGGCACCACTGTCAAACAGGTTCCAGGGCCCCCCCCGGGGGAGGCTGGGGGCTATGTGGCAGCGGGGGCCACTGTCAAACAAGTTCCACGGGGGGAGTGGGGGCATTTGACAATGGGGCCCACTGTCAAACAAGTACCTGGGGCCATTTCACAGAAGGATCCACTGTCAAACGGGGACATGGAAACCATTTGACGTTGGGGGCCACTGTCAAACGGAGACCCGGTGGCCATTTGACAGTGGGGCCCACTGTCAAACGGAGACCAGTGGGCCATTTGACAGCGGGGGCCACTGTCAAACGGAGACCTGGCGGCCATTTGACAGTGGGGGCCACTGTCAAACGGAGGCCTGGGGGCCAGTCGACAGTGGGGCCCAATGTCAAACGGGGCCCTTGAGGCCATTTGACAATGGAGCCACAGTCAAACGGCGTCCGGGGGGCGCGAGGGCTCCGTCAAACAGCGCGCCGAAGGCAATCGCGGTGGGCGCGGAAGAGCAAGTCGACGACGGGGTGCGCTGTCAGACGGCGCGCCGCGCGCGGTCCGAGTAGGAAGCTGCGCGGCCCACCGCAAGGGCTTCACATGCTCGACCGATCCAAATGGCTCAATATAAGAACGGGCTTCCACCGCGCTACCAGGAACAACCCCGCCTTGGTCGTCTATTGTCCGCGGCCGCCTCTACTCGCCCCCATCCTCCTATGACGCAAGCGACCCCCTGCTGCACCCTGCGGCACCTGCTATGACTCGCCGCGGCACCTCCGCACCCTTCTGACTGGGGCCGAGCGTCTTCTGGCGAGATTGCGACGAGCTTCACCTCCTTGCGTTCCTCTTCGCACGCGTCGCGCTCCGAATGGCCATCCCTTGCAATCGCCTCGGCGTTACCGCGCACCGCGCATCGCCGCGCTGCATTGCGCAGCCCACCCGCGACCCCGGCGCGCCCGTCGGCCTGCCATGCAGGACATCACGTGCCCGCTCAGTCAACGCTCCCCGCCGAATCTCGCAATACAAAAAGCCATCTCAACTCGGTTGTCCGCCGAGCTGTCCCTTTTGGAAATCACAGAAAGGCCCGCGATCATTTGCGACCTCAGGCGAGCACGTCCTCTCTGTCATCAGCCGCGACGTAGACGTCGCTTTGACTGTCGTTCAGGAAAGCGGCTCCAAGTGAAACGAATCACCGTGCAACAACGCACGCCGCCGCCCGAACGGCAACGCCCCGAATCACTGCCCCCCGCCTCCTGCCCTTTCTAGGCTCGAGTCCATCGGTCGCCCTCCTGTCCTCTATTTCCGCGGGCGCGCCACCCGCGCGCATCTTTGGACTCCCAGCCGCGTCGACAAGTCCCGGGTCCACGTCGTCATCGATGAACACCTCGTCTGCGCGCCGGGCAAGCTCCTCTTCGGCGACAGGTCGCCAGCCCACCGCGCCCGCGCAGCTCTGCGCGCACCTCTTTGGTTTCTCACCCATCCTAAAGAAGCCCCCGCGCAGGCCTCGCGGAGCGCGGAAATCTCGCAGGCGCGACGGTCCAGCGTCGACGCCGCTGCGGAGCGCGAGCGTTCGAGAATGCACTATGCAGGCCAGCGCTGCCATGGCGACCGCGCCGCGCGCCCCCACCTTCACCCCCAGGGACAGAGACGGGTCAAAAAGACGCCCCCCCCCCCCACCACACACGCACGCACACCCCACCCCGCCCCTACTCCCGCCCAGCAAGCCCACGACGGCAACGGCCGCGCACCCCCCTAACACAAAGGTTCCCCCCCGTCGCTCCGAGGAACCCGCAAGCGGATTCGAGAGCCTCCTGTGTCGAGGATCCGACTCCTTAGGTCTTCTTGTATACCGAAGATTCACCTATACGACCACCCTTCGGGCTTGCCCAAAAGTTGTGGCAACCAGCGCCACTAACAAAAAAGGGGTCGGCGGATGTGGCGTGAGCCTGTAGAATCCACGTCCGGAAGTGACGTGTTGCCGGAGGCCGGTCCGCGGATGCTGTAATGCAATGGATCCAATGTGTCCAATGCTTGCATAATTCCTACATATTGTATCATGTTACATTATTATGTCTCCCCCCCTACCCCCCCCCCTGGAGTCGCGCCACTTCCATCGACCCTCAGGAGGAGGGCTCCTTCTGGGCCTCAAAATCTAGAAAAACCTATGGAAAACCTATGATTTGGGCACCTTGAGCCTTTTGGGGATCCAAGAGGGCCCCAAGACGGCTCCAGATGGCCCCAAGACGGCCCAAGACGGCCCTAAGACGGCCCGAGATGGCCCCAAGAGGGCCCGAAAAGAACCCAAGACGGCCCAAGAGGGCTCCAAGAGCGCCCACAAGAGCGCCTCCAGAGGCCAAAAAACATAGATTTTCCTGACGTTTTTGAAAGATTTTAGCTTTCTCGCCTTTTTCGCCTCTCCGAAGCCCATGACGGCCCGAGCAGCCTCCAAGATGGCCCCAAGAAGGCCCAAGAAACCCCAAGGGGGCCCCAAGACGGCCCCAGAGGGCCACAAGACGGCCCAAAGAGGCCCCCAAGACGGCCCAAGAAACCCCTGAGACGGCCCAAAAGGACCCCAAGAGGGCCCCAAGGCGGCCGCGAGAGGCCCTCAAGAAGTCCTCCGAAGGGGCCAAACGGCGCGAAAGCGCCCCAAGACGGCCCAAGACGCCCCCAAGAGGCCCCAAGAGGCCACCAAGAGGCCCCCAAATGGCCCCAAAAAGCCCCCCAGAGACCTCCGAAAAGTCCCCAAGAAGCCTCCAAAAGGCCCCAAAGAAGCCCCCCAAAGGCCACATAGCGACTGGAGTGTAATATTATTTCCCCCCCTGGACGAACTGCGGCGCAGCGCCAGCCAGGTGGAAGTTGGTCACGGCGGCGCCCATGATTAGAGCCAGCGCTGGAAGGGAAGATGGGGAGGGAGTCAAAAAAGGGGGGGAAGAGGCCAGAAGAAGTCCCCAAGAGGCCCAAAGAAGCTCCCAAGAGGCCTCCAGGAGGCCCCCAAGAGGCTCCCAGAAGGCCCCGCGACGTGACTGCACGTGCTCCGGACGTGCACCCCGCGAAGCGAGAGGAATCAAACATGGTCAAAAAGTCGTCCCCTGACTACTTTTTTTACTATTCTTGATCTTTCCCCTTGTAAAAGGGAAAGGCCCGACTTAACCTTCGGCGGTCTTTTTAAAGGACGGAGGCTTCTCGAAAGCTTCTCGGGGGCCTGGTGGGCCCTGGGGCGCCCTGGGGCGCGTCGACCTGCTGGCGGGGGGAGGGCCTCTCGGCCGTCTTGGGCATCTCTCTTGCGCCGTCGGGGGGCCGCCAGGTGGAAAAACAGGTATGGCACACATTGCAGCAGGATGTATCAATCGGTGGGTAGACGGAGATCTAGATCCAGCACGAATCGGCTCGCCTGTTCAAAGCCAGACGCGGCGGGCGACGACGCGTCGGCCCTCGGGCTGTCTTGGGCGGTCTGGAGGGCCTCCCGGGCCATCCTGCGGGGGCGGGCGCGGGGGGGCGGCAACGCAGTGTGCTCGACGCCTCTTAGGGGGCCCGCGGGGGCCTCCTGCGGGGCTCCCTGGGGGCCTGCTGGCGGCCTCGGGGGCTCTCTCCGTGGGCAGGGCTCGACGTGTCAATCTCTGGGCCCCCTTATGGGGGCCCCCTTCTGGGGCGTCGTGTGCGGTCCGGGGCCCTCTTCGGACCGTCTTTGGACCCCCTTCTGGGGCGCGGAGGCCTGTTTGGAACGATGTTTTTTTCCCATCGCAGAAGCGCTCCCTGAATGTTTCGGCGTTGCCCCACCGCCAGAAAACCGGGTTGCGGCCCCCGCCGCGCCGGTTGGTCCAGCTACGCGCGCCGTGACCCTGTGGGGGCTGCGCCGTGCACTTCTATAGCGCACGAGCCGCTGGGAACGGACGCGACGAGGAAAACAGGGGGGAGGGGGGCGAAGGGAGAGGGAAAAACAGAGGGAGGAGGACGCAAGAAAGGGGACGGCAATATACACATGTCGCACAAACGCATCCCCTACCCGAGGCGACAGTTTGGGTGCCCGGGCGAAGTGGCACAAGCCACGACGCATCGCCAACAAAAAATGCCGAGTGTAAAGTTGAGAATCACAGATGCCGCACAATCGGAGCGCCGGAGGATGAAGAGCAGCAGCAACAGCAGCAGCAGCAGGGCAGCAAGCGCAACCGAAACTACCCGCATCGGTCAAACACCGCCGACCTCATGCAACAGTGCAACCACCGCCAAAATCAGAAGAAGAACGCCTGGAAGCGGCCTGAAGGCTCGCCCGCGCGGCGGTCAGGACGCAGTAGCTAGAAGAGGACGCGTGGGACAGCTTGCCACCGGCCGCCGATGCGTGAGGGATCGCGATGGGCGCTGCTGGAGGCGAGACCGCATTTTGTTTCCCCGACGTGGCAACGAGGAACCCCGCGGGAGAAGGGGCAAGACGGACAGAAGCGTTTTTCGAGCCGACGCCCAGCTGCCGAAACCAACGCGGGCACTTCCAAAAGAAAATCAACGAGCCACCAAAGCTGAACACATTCAGCCGGCACGACATACATGCAAGAGGAGTCAGACTGGGCCCAGGAGAAGATGCCGACGGCTAGGATCAGACAGCCAGCGGGCAGAAACAGCGCGACAAGGAATGCGCGGTTCTCTGTTGTGGGGCAGCGAGGCGGATAAGGTATGTGCCGTCATGAAGCTGACGATGGAAGTGATGATGGCGATATTGGCGATGTTGGTCATGGTAATGGAGATCGGGGACAATCAGCAGCTATGACCTCCTCACATTGTCGGTGCTCAGAAGAATTCAACATTTGCGTGTTGGTTTGCAGACTGAAGCGTCTGTCTGTAGCGCAGAGAACCCGCAGAGTGCTGCGACCGAGGCGGGGCAGACCCAGACGATGCCGGCCTGCCGCTTCGATCCGTCCGCTTCTGCTTGGGTCGCGTTTTTTTGTTTTTGTTGTTTTTCCCCCCTTTTTTTTTCCTGAGTTCTCATACTAACCCAACGTAGCTCGTGCAGAGCCAGACGTATGATGTCATTGTCGTCGCCCCTGCAATGCGATGCTGCACCTGGCTGCCAGGCTCGCGCGGGGGCAGCCAAGTGCTGGAAATACCGGCCACGTCAACCATGGATGGGGCTCACCCTCGGCGTTCCGTTGCATGACCTCGGAGACCCACAGGTCGAACTTCATATATAGATCCTGACAGCCCACATGTCCACTCACAGGCCGCCTGAAGACGTCTTGCATACCAGCATCCTGTCTTTCAGCGGGGTCATTAATGTCCAGAAGAGCCGTGGATGCTGGAGTGCAGGGTGTGATTGTGGAAGTCGTCATTGACGCCCTCCCCCGCGAAAGCATTGAACGATGCGTGGCGCTCTCGATGTCCCGACTGAAGCCGCTCGATTCAGACATGCAGAGGCATGCGAGTCGTTTGCGTGTTTTGCGGAGAGCGCTTCACGCAAATCTAACTGAAATTCAAAATGGGATTTGAGATCGTGCTGGCCTCCCTCTTCTTGCCCCTCTTCGATGCCAACTGCGTGGGCACGTTCATCCCGGTCCCCAAGCACGCATGGGTTATCGGGGCACGGACAAGGATTCCCGCTGCGTCCCGAAGATGCACGGTGAGAAAACCTGCGCGACCTTCCCCGGTCGGCATCATCTTCTTCGGAAACACCGGCGTTTAATTCTGAAATATGAACTCTCTCACTTTCTAATGCTAGATCTGTGAGCGCCCGGCCATTTGAAGATTGCGAGTTACCGTTGTTCATTAGACGGGGTGTCCCAAGTGATCTGCACATCGGACAATCTCGAATCGCGGCCCCACAAGAAAACGCACTCATCGCACTGCCTAGAGAGAAACCGCTCGATGATAGACACACATTCATCATGGCGTCCGCTTCGCGATATTTCAACCTGACAAAAACCTCTAATGCAATCTCCGAAATCCAACAGAAAGTGGCTTTCGTTCCGAACCTCCAAAAAGCATCCTCAAGGGTGCCCAATTCCGAACACTTCAACTATACAATGAAAATAAAACCGGCCAACAATAACGTATTCAATTTAGCGCTGCAACATAATAGTCCCTGTCCGCCGTGGACTGTAACGACCAACGAGACAACCACGATGGACGAACAGGAACGCGTACTGACAACCAACAAACTAACAGGAAATACACACATAAACTGAACGAAGCATTCATAGCATCTAATCGTGACGGCGAAGCTGACTTTGGCGCCACACTAACTAGCGTCGTCGCAGAAGTCCCAGTGTGCAATGGGACAAAGTGCCTGTACTCCAGCCACACGTGTATCCACAATCCATTCCTGTCCGACATGATGTGCCCTTCCGCGTCTTGACTGCCGGGCATCATCGCGGCTAACATGAACATCGCCATTGCTAAGATCAGTGCTGGTCTGGTCCGGTTGTGTACAGAAACTGCACCCGCAACGAGAAGCAGACGCTGCTGACATTCCTCTCCTTAGCTCTCTTGCCGCGAGGTATGGCCTCCTTCTCGCCAGTGCGAGCACATATCCAGGAACGGAGAGCGGCTTAGTTTGCACGCGACCTGGGCAGCCTGTACTTCAACATCAGGACCAACGAAACACTAGGCACAAGCAATGCACACTGCAGAACAGATGTCGACGCATCTCGACTGCGGCGCCTTCAGTGGCAGTAGTGAACGCATCAAAAGAACACCAATCACTCATAATGTTCTGTATGCGCCGGACGCAGGGTGCCGGGCGCGAATTGACTCTGAGCCTCGCTTGTCGCCTTGAGCCAAAACGGCCACGGAAGCCGTCTTGGGGCGATCTTGGGGTCCTCTTGGGCCGTCTTGGGCAGTAGAAGTCAGAAAAAACGAGAAGCCATAAAACCAGTCAACACATAATGGACATCTGTGATCTTTGCCTCTTGGGGCCCTCTTGAGGGTCTTCTTGGGGCCATCGTGGGGCGTCTTGGGGGCCTCTCAGGCCGTCTTGACGGCATCTTGTGCTGTCTTGGAGCGCCGTTGGACCAACTCATGGCCCTGTTGGTCCGTCTTGGACCTAAGTTGCCGAGAGATAGGGGGAAGGAAACGCACCACCACCACCACCACCACCTGGAGGATGGAGGCAGAGAGTGGTCGGGGGTGATGGTGGTGGTGGTGGTGGGGTATATCGTTTCGGGCGCTCTCGCGGGACATCGTGCACACCCGCATCCCGCACACGAGCTCATCCTGAATCTCTCCAGGTGGTGGTGATGGTGGTGCGCTTCTAGGGAAACAAAAGTGACATAAACATAAAACTCGGAGGTCCGCGCGGATTTCTCGGATCGGCCCTGGACCCCCCTCCCTGGCGCGCGGAGCGCGCCAGGGGCGGCGCCGGAGGTGCCGCCAGGGGGCTTCGGCGCGGATCCGAGAAATCCGCGCGGACCTCAGAGTTTTTATGTTTATGTCATTTGTTGTTCCCCTAGCTTCTGGCTTCCAGAAAGAGGGCCGAGCTTGCTCGAAAAATCAGCCCGAGCGGGCGGGAAGCGTTCTCGGACCCGCGACCCCTCAGGGGCCCCTCCGTCGACCGCCCCTCGCCAGCGCTCGGACGTCCATTCCCTGTGTTTTTCTTCGGTTTCGTGCGTGGTCTTTTCGCCAAATGATCAAGGATGTTCCTCGATGGCCCTCGCCGAAGGAAAACTGCACACGTCCGAGCGATGCCAAGGCCTCCGCCGGGAACGGATCAGAGGACAGGGCTTCCCGTCGATTCGACACGACCTGGCTCGACTCGCTTCGGGTTGTCGAGCTCGATGTCCAGAGGTGGCCGCCGGGAAGGGAGGCACGACCTCGACTGAGAGAGCGTCTCCCAGGACTACCCCAGGAGGGCCGGCCCAGAACTCCCCCGTGCACACGCCGACAGGGTCGGCGCGGATTTTCGCGCCGTGCGAGAGCCTCGTAGGACCATCGTGGGCTGGTCCTGGCTTGTCTTGAGCCGTCCTCGGGCCTCTTTCGTAGGCCGTCGTGAGATAGTCTTGGCGCAATTGTTGAGTTCCTGTTGTTGGATATCGGGGTTGATTGATATCAAACTTTAATCTCGAAAGGATAATTTCTACGACCAACAAACGGTCCACGCCGGGGGCGCGTCCCGTCATCCGCCAACGTGTCTCTGGGCACGGAGTTGGCGTGTCCTCAGGTTCTTTGCCTAATCCCTGGAGCCTCAGTCCTCAGTCCCGAGAAGTCTCTGAAGGGATCAAGACCCCAAATGTCGAAATTTGGCGGGGCTTGGCGCGGTTCCCCTGTGCGCCGGCGCATCTCCTCGCGTGACTTGTTGGGGCCCAAGGGGGCCGCAACACGGGCCAAGAGGGCCCCAAGAGGCTCCGAAGACGGTCAAAGAGGGTCTCGAGTTGCCGAAAGATCGCCCCAAGACGCTCAAGGTGGCCCCAAGACGGCCCAAGAGAGGCCTTCAAGATGCCCCGAGAGGCCTCCAAGAGGCCTCCCAAGAGGGCCCCAAGAGGCAACCATCATTGATTCTCCTAAGGTTTTGGACGGCGTTTGGCTTTCTCGCCTTTTCGGCTTCCCGACGCTCCAAGATGGCCCAAGAGGCCTACAAGATCGCCCCAAGAGGCCTCCAAAAGGGCCACAAAACGGCCCAAGAGGGCCCTAAGACGGCCCAAGATGCGCCCAAGACCATGGATTTCCCCTAAGTTTTTGAAGGAGTTGGGCGTTCTCGCCTTTTCGGTTTCCGACGCTCCAATGCGGCCCCAAGACCATGGATGTCCACTAAGTTTTGAAGGAGTTGGGCGTTCTCGCATTTTCGGTTTCCGACGCTCCAAGGCGGCCCCATAGGCCCCCAAGACCACCTCAAGAGAGCCCAAGAGGCCTGCAAGAGGGCCCCAAGACGTAAGAGCGCCCCAGGACGGCCCAAGAGGCGCCCAACAGGCGTCAAAAGGGCGCACAAGAGAGGGAGCACGAACCGAGAATCCGAGCCTTCCGCCCCAAGAGGCCCCCCGAGGAGGCCCCAAGAGGCGCCCAAGAGGCGCCCAAGAGGCCCCAAGAGGCCCCCAAGAGGCCCGAAAGAGGCCCCAAGAGGCCCCACAACGGCCCACAAGAGGCGTCAAAACTGCCTCCAAGAGGCCCCCAAGAGGTCCCGCACGAGATCCCAGCGAACATCCAATAGGCTTTATACCCACAACTCAGGCGCGGTGGCGGGAAGGGCCGAAGGCCATGAAAAAGTTCCCCCAAGAGGGTACGATCGAAGACGAAGAAAGCGGGTATCGAGGGTATGGGATGTGCATGTTGAAGGACGCGTGACCAAATAAGAACGAACAATCTTGCACATGCTGTTGCTGTTGTTTTTGTTGCTGTAAGTAGATGTGGGTGTTCCCAGGACGCCCTGAAAGCCGTCAGGACAGGGCGCCAGGGCGCCTTCCCGTGGAGGCCAACGTATCATCTGCGAGTGTGTCCGCTTCGCCTCGAGGCCGCCTCGCAGCCTCCTGGGGCTCACCGTCGATCACCCTCGGGGCCTCCTGAAGGTCCAACGACTTTGTTTGGATGGCCCGTGGGAACCGGGCCGGGCACCCAGCCGGCGCTAAGGCAAACCCTCGGTTGCCACAAAGAAGGAGTGCGCAGGAAGGCCGCCCAACAGCCTCGAGACGAAACTGGGCATCCCCCAGCAAGGGCCTGCGTTCAAGGATGGCTGTTTCTCTTTCTGTGGTTTGGCCTCGTCTGGATCCCAGAGCCCTCCGGCCCCTGTGATGATTGGCGGGAGAATGGGGAAGGATGGTTGAGGGGAAAAGGGACAAAAGAGGAGGAGAAGGAAAATGAGGAGGAGCAGGAGGAGGAGGAGGGAGGGAGGGAAGATAATGGACACAGCAGAGGAGGAGAAGGAGGCGGATGATGAGGACGGGAAGGCATAACTGGGCAAACCTGACCAAGGGGGGGAGGAGGTCTGGCCGTTGCGGACGCTGGCTGACCTGTGCTGCGTCTTTGGTTCGTCGTGGTACAACGGGCACATGCGATAAGAGACCGTGTTATAGCACATGTTTTGATGCTAGTTGGCGAAGCCGCACGAGTCACAGCAAGTCAGAAGTCAAGTGAGACAGTTCGGACTGATCAAGCTGCCTGTAAACATTTGGCGAGACGCCGTCAGACTCACAAGGGCTCACTAGGCCTCCGTTGAACTTCAATGGACTCGATTGGACGCCACAGAACTCTATAGGGCTCCGTTCAGCTCCATCCCTTCCATACGACTCCAATGTTGTACTGAAACGTTGTGCTCGAAAATGCTGCGCCAGATCCGCGCCCGCCCGCCCCGGACACACCTCCAGGGCGAGCGACGGCTGACGTCATCAACCGAGACAGAACAAACTCACGCCACAGCGGTGCTGACTGACGTGCGCCCGGAGAGCAGGGCGCGCGAAGCGGGCCAGCACGCAAGATCCAGCGAAAG